ATAGGACAAGGAAGAACAAACTTTGGTACCATGAAAATCAACTGAACTCCCCCACTTCAATTACTGTCTTTTTGTGGATGCATTTTTAGTTTGTTTAATATTGTTCTGGCAGAAGGTTAGGAATGAGAAGTAATAAGAATTAAAAATGGGATATGCACTCATAATACTGTCACATGTATTACATTTAAATGCATTATATGTCAGTTGATATTTTTCATTATTTTTTTCATCCTTGTTAAGAGTCAAGTTGGAAGTTGAATATTTAGCTGTGAATATAGATATGCTCTAGAATCTGTCTATGGTAGAATTGGTGTTTTACTTGTAGAGAGGTATGGATTTAAAAATAACTCGTATATTATATCATAACTAGCAGCATCTATTGTCATTCAAGAGGACACTGTACAGACTGCAGAATGTAGCTGATAACACTTATAGCATATGGTTACCTTTTTGTGAACTATTTGCATTGAACTTCTGTTTGTCCTACATCTGAAAATGATGAAAGAATCTAATCTAGATTAGATCTAGATCTGTCTAATCTAGAAGTCATGAAATGAAAGAAAGTGAATTTCTTTTGTTATGTTGTTTTGTTTTTTTTTTTCTTTATTTTGGAGGACTGTATGAGAATATGACTAGCAATGCTTTTTGTTAAATATGCATAAAGATGCTCAAGAACCATGAGGATTAATAAAGTTGAAAAAAATATGGAGAAAAATTTAAGAAAGCCCAGTCAAGGGAAGGTATAAAATATTGCTGGAGCATTTTTAGTAGTGTATACTTCCTGTTAAATTCCTGCTAGAAATAAAAATGGGAGTTGGAAGGAGAGGAGAAGTTAAAAGTGTGATAAGTCAACCTCAACTACCTGGGGAAAAGAGATGATGAAAGGGAGAAAATATGCCACAAAATGTTGAAGTAGCAATTATGAGAAGAACTTTAAAAGAAATTAATATTTCTGCATTTAATTTTTAATAAAATAATGTAACTACTAAATTAATTTTGTTTCTGCAGAAGATGTCAGGATTTCCTCAAATAATGTCAGTATTTTCAGTACTTCAGTTTTTCATCTGTTTATTTTAATTTTACCTGGTTTTTTCCATGCAGCATATTAGAAGTGGACTACTATACAGTAAAAGCTTCTGATAAAGAATGAAATAAAGAAAGCACAGAATTCAATATTTATTTGTTACCGTGATTCTTTTTGATAGTAGAAATCAAATGTATTCCCCTTTGTTGCATTCATAGATGGACTCCTTTAATATTGCGGTATGTAGATTTGAATTTTTTCTTGAAGTGCTTCAGCACCCAGTGTGTTGCTGCATTTCTGTATTAGCAGCAACATTGAAGGATATGTCATTTTTGTGTTTCTCCTAGATTGCTTTTACTTCAGTTTGAGTTTCACATGAAATGAAATAAAACCCACTCTTACTTAAATTTCACAAGCCTGTATAGAGGCAGCTATGCAGTACTGATTTAGCAGTGCAGTCTGATTGATTTCAAAATGCAGAATTAGGGGTTGGTTTTTCCAATTTTTTTTAACCTCAGCTCCCAAAATATGAAAATTTGAAAAGCACTTAAGACAATAATTACTTGTACAACTGTTGCTCCTGTTGTTACGTAACTATTGTTACATAGTACTTTTCATATGCTTTTTATTTAGGAGATTAAAAAGTATTTCAGGGACTAAAGACTGGAATTTCAGTGATGACATTTACCATATCAAACAGTATGTAACTTCTGGTAGTTGTATCCTAACTCTTTTTTTTTTTTTTTTTTTGGAAATCAGACTCCTAGCATTAAGGAGTTGGTTTTATTTTCACTTTCACTGTCTCCATTCAGTATTGTACCATCTAAATTCATAATGGGTGAAAACAAGGTTTTAGTTTAAACCCTTTTATTTGTGTCTATTCACATGAAGTATGGACAGAAAATTTTAACATCCTATTGCAATTAAAAGATTGATATATTCAGCGCCAAGACAAGAAAGGGCTACTGTCACCTTTTGGTTTTGATCTGTTGTTTTCATAGCAGGGTTTTGATCTGTTGTTTTCATAGCAGATTTTTTCATTTTGACTTGGTATGTGATTTTGCTTCCTCTTCAGATTACTATGAAGATATTAAAAAAATAAATAGTATTCGCCAGTAAACAATGTATTATGGAAGAAGAAAAATTGTATGGTGCCGTAAGTAAAGAGATGCCATGGGAAAGGATGCAAATGAATTAATGAATGACAGTCCTCTGAGACATCAAAAGGTCTGTTTCACCAGGTCACAGTGTTTCTTTCTATGTACTGTTGCCTGGAGCACTCTAGGTTCCAACAGTATACAGGGGATACTCTTTGATTCTTCCCAGAATCAAAGGAGGGTAAAATCAGTTTCTTTTGGTTTTCATTGGAGCAAATTCACTTTAGAATAGTTTTCTTTCTTGAAAGTTTGTTGAAGTGTGCTTTAGATGCCTTAGTTACATGATGGTTTTTATGGTTCTTGACCAACAAAGCTGTCAAACATTGCTTTTGCCCTGTTGTATTCAAACAAGTACAATTGACTCAACTCGAAGTGCAAATTGAGATTGTTCTTGTATAGTGTCAGACTGTCTATATAGTATCTAGACAAAAATCAGTAGATACTATGGGAATAGATTAATTCCTGATGGGTGTGAAATCTGTCAAAATAACCTCATGTAGGAGGTTGTCCTGTGTGTTGATCAGGTATGTTTTTTCCCCTGCTATTTCACCTGCCTTCTGGAATAGGGTAATCTTTTAGGAACACTGCTTATGTTCTTTGCAGTAAGAAATCAATCTTTATTCTCCTATTACATGAGGTAATATATAGGTTGAGGAAGCAAAGTATGAAAAGAGCTGCACAGGAAAGGGCACATGATAATTTACTTAATTGTCTATATCTCAGAAATTCCTTTATATGACCCTTATTTCTACCCAGTCATGGCTCCTGAGTGATACTTCTGGGTTTTTTTTTCCCTTCTTTATAAGCATGTGGAATAAACAGATAGGAGAGTAAAAGTTCAATTCATTTAGAGGAAAAGATAAGAGCATGCAAAGTGGTACCCCAGAAAAACACTTTGAAATATGACAGGATTTATTTTCTATGCAAGTGTAACTCACCTAGATAAGGTTTCACTAGTGCTGCAGAAGGTGACGTTGTAGACTACCCAGGTGAGTTTGCTGCTTAATGCTTGATGTGGGCATATTTGCCTTTCGATTGGTTTCAAGTGTTATGTTACAGTTCATTTGTGGAGATTAGTTAGTGTGCAAGTCTGATTCAGGATAACCTGTCTGACTATTCTTAGTATTCACAGTAAGTAGCTTATTTCAGTTGGAAACTTAATTTGAGCAATACAGAACAAACATTTGAAATAGCTAGTTGCACTTTTGTACCATCCTCTCTCAATTCATTCTCCAAATTGCTGGAAAACATCCCATTTAAGACAGAACTCAAATATCTCTGATTTCACTTCACAAATACACATATGATTCCCAGTTTCTGCCCAGTGTATAATGAAACTAAGTATTAGTATGATGTACCTGTGTACTCAGAAATTAGATGCCTTAAAAGAGCTGAAGCTTTTATAAAAAATGTGTGTGTGTGAATTTTTAGCTCAGAGCCAAGAGTCTCTTTCAGATAGGTGAGATTTTTAATGATGTTTTAAGGCTGTCTCCAAGTACAGACTTTTGTTTTGATAAATGTTAAGTAAGTAGTAATGAGCTAGAAGGAAGACTCGAAGGAGCTGCTTACTCCAATTCCATGAGGACCTGGGGAGTGGGAGGGTAACAAACAAAATTACTGATGCTTTCCATAGTAATGTGGACACATACCTTTTTAAAGATTCAGCTAAATCATTTCTACCAGAAACAGTTTATTACCATAAGTGTAATAATATATCAAAGAACAAATGTTTTGTCTTTTGAATGGTGTAATGTGACTTCATATGTACTGTTTTACATGTTTTTGCTCAGCATATTTTCATTTCATTATTTTTTTGTCTGACATACTTATGAACCAGATGGAAGCTTTAGACATTGGAAACTCCCATATATCATCAGATGTATTGTAGAATAATCTAGAGGATTATTGTCTTGTTAATGATTTTTAATGTTTCTATACACACTTGATTTTAGCTTGTGTATTAAAAGCAAAGCAGTTGCACTGCTGTACTGACATGAAAGTTTTATCAGTTTCATACCACAGTTATAGTGTCACTGCTAGAAGAATATTATAGATTAAAGTCCTTTTGATTTAGAAAGAGATGGGACAAAACAGAATGTGGAATTAAAGCAGACTCTTGGAGAAAAACACAGCGTTCTAATAGGCATTGAAGAATGAGGGTGTTTAATGCAAGTGTCATGAGAATCAAATGAAATTATTGAAGAAACTTAAAGTTCTTATTTTATGGCAGTGAGATTTTTCTGTATGTGGGTGAACTAACGCATAGTATGTGATGAGCAATGTTGTGTTATTTTCCTTGAGCTGCAAATTCAGCCAGACTTAATTATCTTTAAAAGTATTTTGTATCATAATAATTTTGATAACCTCACTCAATAGTAATTTCTGTTTACTGTGACAAAGTCTGGAAATTTTGTGGGATTTGGAATTCAGCTCTGGCTTGATTTTTGATGTGCTGTAAGTAAAAGTTAAACAGTATTCTAATGCATTCTTACTCTATAAACACAAGTACAACTTCTGTAAATGACTGTTATTACATAAGCTTCACTGAGTAATTTCCATTATATTCTGCATTTATAGGCTTCTTTATTCGGTAGCAGCAGGGTATTTGTTTCCTCATTTGCCTTACTGTGTCTTACAGTCCTTCAGCTTTGAGTATGATTAAAGTACTAATAGAATTAAAATAATGCTGTAAGAACTGCATATATCAGCTAGTTACATTTTGTAGGCCTAAGACAGAACATGCATGCTCTTTTGTGCTTGCTTTTTGTCTATGAACAGGTTTGGTTTTTTTTTTTTCTAAATAGAGGCTCACAGGACAGCAGCAGGAGATAAACAGCTTAATGCAGAGAAAAAGTGCTGTGGATGAGGAAAATGCCCGTTTGAAGAATGAATTTGGTAACTTGAACCGGAAATTTAAAGATAAAAGCCAAGAACTTAAGGTATATTGACTTGTACAGAGTTTCATAAGACTGTAGCTTTGAAGTAGTTCTTTAAGCAGTGTCAGCCTTTGTGGCACAGAAAGTGACAAGCTTGGAGAAAAAATTGCCTTAGGCCTTGCTATACCTTACTGTTTTCTCACATACCAACTGAGAAAGATACTTTAAAGCCAAGAATCCAAGCTTTATAACTTTCAGATAAATAGTTAATGATGGAAATGGAGCAAAGAAAGTAGAAGTGTGAAGATGTGGCTTCTTGTAATTAGATTCTGATGGGACTGGCATTATTAATTGATAAAGCTGAGGTCTGGGAGGATATGTCTGTGTGGGTCTCAAAAATAGCTGGGGACAGCATCAAAGGCAGCTTGATCAATTAATGGGCTCTTTGCAAATGTGTACTCATCAAAGCTGTCATCCAGCTAAAAAATATGACCCTTCCACCTGCATGAAAGAGGCCAATAAAAGTGCACAGGTGACCTTGGCCATCAAATATAGAAGCTGCTGTGAGAGTAAAACTGCACAGTTTATATTTGCTGATTAGTTCTCACTTTTTTGTTTATCGGCCCTTGTGGTACTGTTCTACAGGACACCAAGGAGTGTGCACAGAAGAAGGAAGAGCAAAACAGACTGGTTATAAAAAACCTGGAGGAGAAAAAGAAGGGATTAAATATATGCTGTGCTGACCTGCTAAGTGACCTGGAGAAACTGAGGAAGCAGGAGGCACAATGGAAAAAAGAAAAATCTGGCAATAATATCAGAATAAAGGTATGAAGTGGAACGGACTCCTGGATATTATTTGAGAATTAACTTCTCCAGATATTTCACTACAAGTTATTTTCTTTAAATAGCAAGTTATATAGTTATATATTCAAATATACCAGTGGGGACTTGCATTCATTTGCATTCTATTACTTAAGACCCACAGCTTTTTAAAAATTGATGCTGCAAAGCAGGAATCTGACTTCAAATAGTCATCTTAAAATGTAATCATTAAAAAATAAAAGAGGCTGTACTTTGAGATTTTATATATATATGAATGTGAAATAATAAAAGCTTAAAAGTATTACCATATTTTTTTTTCTTGATTTGTAATTTACTTACCTATAATCTTGTTGCAGTAGACTTAATCTTTGTTGTTTTGGAAGAATATGTAGTTCCAAATAAATTGCACCCTAGCCTCCAAAGGTCTCTATTCTGTGAGACTTCTTATTATTGCTTATAATACATTAAAAAGTTATTTTCATAGTTTGTGATAAAGCAAAAAAGAAAATAACTGAATACACTGTACAGAGCCTTTTTTTATTTAAATCACACATTTTCCTGTTTTCTTGTGGAAACTGGCTAGTGTTTTTTAAATTCCTCCAAGAAATGAGCCACAAACATGGTTAATCTTAGTTCAACAGCTGCTTATATACACATCTAGGCAGTGGATTCTTTTTGTTTGCATGATGAATGTACACTTACAGTGCTGTATTCTTTTACATTATCAAAGTACATTCATTGCAATAACTATCTAATTAATGCCTCTCCCAAAAATGCCCTTTTTTTCCTGCACTAGCAATTTTTGGACTGTTGTGATGGAAACTCTTTTGGAAGAGCTTAATTCAGCTCTCTTAACATGGGAAGTAAAGTTCTTGCAAATTGGCTTCTTCAGACTGGTCATGATGAAAGGATTCTAGATCCTAGGACAAGAAATGATTTGTTTATTCTTAGGAGAGAAAAATCTAGTGAGTGCCAAACTGACAAAATAATTTTTAAGTTGTCAAATGTAGTGTTTGTAATATTGGAGAAGTGTTGCCTTCAGGGGAAGGCAAGGTGACCTGGTTGTAAGGAATAGCATGGTGGCTTGGTTTTGCCTAGGCTACTCGGGCTACAGACATATGTAGACATTAATATGGTGGATGGTCAAATGGCGTTTATTATCTTATCTCATGGGGTTAAATAGTCTAGGGGAACTTTGCTACATCAAAGGAAGAAGGTAGGGTCTTCCAGGATTAGTAAGGAGTGGAAAACTACTGAGTTAGGTGAGGTTGCATGTCTTGGGGGTAATGGGTAACATATTGCAGGGTGAGGGGGAAGGGTCTTGCTTTCCGTCACATCCCGAAATCTTCCATTCGCCTGTCCCTATCTACTACAGACAAGTTGTTGAAAATCTGTTACCCATCCCTTTAATCAATACAGTCAGAATAACTTTTATGTCTCTATCTTCCTGGCTGATGTGGCATGCTGATGAATGAAAGAGCGGGGCGATTGTAGGGATGGGAATTAGCAGTGTTGGTATTTCAGAGGGGTGTTATAAGCAGGTTAAGTTGGTATCTAGAGTGTGAAAGAGAATACTTCTGGAGATGGATGTTGCCTGAGACAGCCAGGGATATACCACAGAGTTGGATTTGCTGTTCACAAACTAGGAAGAACTTGTTAAGAAGATAATAATCATTTGCAGTCTTAGTTATAATGACCATCAAGTTGTCAAGGCCAAGACCTTAAGACAGTGCAGAAGGAAAGTAGCACTGTACAGCCCTGGAGTTAAGAAGCAGAGTCTTCAGATGTTCAGGGAATTTGTAGGTGGAATCCTGTGAGAAACACTTTTGAAGGGTAAAGAATGCAGAAAAAACTATAATGTCTTTAAAGACAGTTTCCTCCACGCCCAAGTATCGTCCACTTTAGAAAAAAGTGGATGTCTCAGGAGATAACTTGGCTAAACAGATCTCACCACTAGACTCTGGTGTAGGATGCATATAGAAAACAGTATTCAGGAAGTGGAAACAGTGAAAGTTTTAGCGGGGGGAGTTTAGAAATATTGTCTGGACACGGAAGGTTGGTGGTAACCTATGTGCAGTTGAGAGTTGCAAATAATGACTGAACAACTAGAATTTCTTTGAAGTGCTTTATCAGAGAAAAACTGAACAAGAAAAATGGAGACCTAATGCTGAAGTGGAATGATGAATTAATTACAAAAGTTGATAGATTCAGCAGAGGTACTTAATATTGTCTTTGCCTAAGTCTTCTCCAAGGTGTCCCCAGAAGTTTGTGCCTAGAGACAGACTTCAGTGTGAGTTAATGAGAGTGGATGTGTTGGAAGATACCTGAGAAAACTTTACTGGTACACATCCATTGCCTGAAATTAGCTGCATCCAGGGGTGCTGAGAATGTTGGTTGCCTCTTACCCTTTAATTTGGGAGTTGAATCAGCATCTTTTTGTACATGTTTTTCAGTAATAAACATGGCATTTAACAGTCTTAAAGATGTGTTGTATACAGATTTTATCCTCCTCTGACAGAATAAAAAGAATCCTTATCAAATTAAGCTAGCCCAACATTGCCTTTAAAATGTGTATTAGATGGTAGAAATGTAAGATCTAAATCAAAGATTACTTCTTAGGAAAAGTAGTCACCTGTAAAAAGGCTAAAGTGTTCGCCTTTTTTTTTTTTTTTCCTGTCTGTAAACCATTTCCATTGAATAAAAGTGCCACTTCTCACTTTTGAAGACTGATTGTTATTGTAACCTATGATAACTGGGTATAAAATTCAACTTCTTCAAATTGAGAGAAAGAAAAAGCTGCTATGGATAATTTGTCCTTTTAAAGAACATTTCTTTTAAGTTTTGTCATATTTGCTGAAGTCAGTGTGAGACAGGTAAACAGGAGGATACCTGATAAGGTGTCTAAAAGGCTGACAATAGTGTTTTTCTTTTCTGTATGTACCTTCATATAAATAATGTACTGTGTACAGAAAGTTGAATTAAGTCTTTGCTTTCTGCGTAAAGTAGTTCTTCAGGACTTTTTGTGCTTCTTTTGTACTTCCCAGAGCTAATGTATTAGCTTTCTATATGTCCTGAAAGTGAACAAATAAAAAAGTTGTTAAACAGCCAGCTGTCTCCCTATGTAAGAATCAGTTAGTTATTTGAGTTATTTGGTTGTTCTTTAGGTGGAGGTTACTTAAACTATTGTTTAGTATCAAAATGAATATGTTTTTCCCCAAACTGAAGTCACAAAAGGCTTTGTATGTAGATGAAAAAATGTCAGCCTGGCAGATTTTAAGTGGAGGTGAAGTAAAAGATAATGGAATTGCTTACTGGTGGGTTGGTTGGTTGTTTTTGTTAATTCCTAGTTAGCACAGTACTTTTGAAGTTTCTGAGGTCTGAAGGCTGGAACTTGTAAAGAAACAGCCATCTCTCTCAAGAGGAGCCTGGGATTTTAGTTCCACTGAAAAATGAGAATTTTATTGAGATAGGACCTTGAAAAATTACCCTCACTGTCATAATATATAATAGGAAAAAACAAGAAAACAAAGCTACTGTCTTTGAAAGTGACTTTCAAAGGGTTTGGAGCTACAAATAACAAAACGGTTGTGTTAATTCATAGTGACTCCATAATGGGCATAAATGTACTTCCTCATGCCTTGGTTTTCTTATGCTTTTCATGTTTGAAGTTCTTTTAAGTTCACCTTTTCTTACTGTCTTGTACTGTGTCTTTTATAAATATGCATTTTCTCTCTTCTATAAATGAATTATTCGATGTTTTGGCTGTTTCAAGTAGCATTTTTCTTATAGGCTGTAAAAGTTTGAATCTTAAACACTTCATTGAAATTAACTGTACTTTGAAAACACAGATTAGGAGTATTTCTGCTAGGTAAATTTTCACAAATTTACATAGCAAGTTTATGCAATGAACTTTTTTGGCTACTGAATCAACAAGAACAGAATGTGATAAATTCTTCATGATCTTAAAAATGCAGATTCTCAGAAATTGAGTGTAAAATATTGCAGGTTATTTCATGGTCAAAAATATGATGTTGATGAAAAACTCAACATGAGCCTGCAATGTACACTTGCAGCCCAGAAATCCTTGTCATGGACTGCATTGAAAGAAATGTGTCAGCAGGTTAAAGGAGGTGATTTTCCCCCTTTACTGTGCTGTTACGAGACCCCATCAGGAGTGCTCTGTGTATTTCTCTTGTTCCTAACTCGAGAAGGACATGGCATTCCTGGAGGAGGGCCATGAGGGGAGTGGAGTCTTCCTTACAAAGACTGATTGAGCAAGTTGTGGCTGTCCAGCCTGAGGAAGAGAAAGTTGTGTGGAGACCTCATAGCAACCTTCCAGGATCTGACCTTCCAGGAGCCTACAGGGAAACCAGAGAGGGCCTCTTTGTCAGGAACTGTGGTGATGGGATAAGGAGGAGTGGTTACAAATTGAGAGAGGGGAAATTTAGGTTAGAGATTGGGAAGAAATTCTTTACTATGAGGATGAGGAGACACTGGAAAGGTTGCCCAGGGAGTGAGCAGATTCTGGCAGTGTTCAAGTCCAGGTTGGATAAGGCCTTTAGCAACCTGACCTAGTGCGGAGATCTCCCTGCTCATGGCAGGGAACTTGGAAGTAGATGACCTTTCAGATCCTTTCTAGCCCAAACCATTCTATGATGCTATTTTAGATGTCAGTATTCAGCTGAAGTTTTGTACATCAATATATGGTATTTCAGTAGCTAAGGTATTTGTATAACAAGTTTTTTTTTTCCCATTTTTTCTTATTTTACTCCTTCAGTAATGCGTCCAAAAACTTGAGCTTTCAAAATATATTCAAAAGGTTGACCTGATTAATTTCTTACTTGAAACCAAAAGCTGAAGTTAAATATATCACAAATGAAGTACTGAAAGATACTTTTTTTCTAATTTTAAAATCTGCCATTAGATAACTTCTGAAGTTTTATTTATGACAAAATAATGTTACATATTCTTTGTATTGTACTCTGCAATGGATGATGGGAACTTAAAGCATTAGTAATGCTAGATTACTTTCATCTCTTCCATGAAAAACCTGCAACTCTATAGTATGGTATTAGAAATAGGCAAATAGAATTTATTCACAGAATATATGAACTATTACAATTTTTGTTCACATATTCAATACTGCAGAGGAAAAAAATACTGAGGAGAAGCCCTACTTGTCTGAAAGTTATAAATACCTTATTACACTTAAAAAAAATTGTGTTGATAGTGAACTGTCTCCTATCATTTTGAGTTTTTTTATAATTCAAGGAAAAATTAAATTTTTCTACCTAGCCTTTGATTTGAATGGTGGCTTATTTACTGTACATGAATTCATTCATGTACACCAGGTATGTATCCTATAGTTGTCAAGAAACACATTCATTTCCTACCTCATTCACTTGTTAATTTTGATATTTCCTTATATCAGTGTTACTGTTATTAATAGGACATGATCAATTTCAAGGAATTTGATTGTCGTAAACTTCTGATACATCTAAATATCTATAAGACATTTTAATACAATTTTAAGGAATTTAATTTATTTAGAATTGAATTATTCACTTTTCAGCTATAGAAATATTTTGATAACCTCAGTATTGGAGGTATCATTGCTGAAAGGGAAAAATAATTTTCTTATTTCTTTAAGTCTGTATGTAAGGAAAAAAATATACTCTTGGCAGTAGATTAGGGATGATATTCTAAGAGGAGATTTTTATTTTAAATTATTAATGAATCATGGAGTACTTGCCTTGCTGAGAATGAGTGATTGCATCTGTGAGTAGCATAATACCAAAGCTGGTATAAGGCTGTTGCCACCATCTGAAATCCTGTTCTTGATATTGCTGTAATATTCATATTTCCATTCTTGCCTCAAAACACTCTGGGGAGAATAATCATACAAAGCTTTGTAAGGACTGATGTGCTCTTCTTAGGGAACTCCAGCAAGTTGTATGTAGACATTGAAGTCTTGTTTGAGTAAGCTGCCTTGCTGCTCTAATACACCTTTGCAGTTTGCTGACTAACTTCTACAGTAGGGTTTATGGTAAAAGGCAGACCCTTGCTTGTTTGCATTGTTTTCAGTGAGCACTTTCAGAAATTATCTGGTATGCTGTTTCTTTTCCTGAAGAAACTATTCTTTACACTGAATAAGCAATGCAAAATAAGGACAGATTTAACAGGCAGTGTCAAAAATGAATCTGTATCTATGATTCTTAGTTCATGTATATGATGTTGTGAATTTTTGTGAGAAGTTAAAACAATGAATGCATAGCTGGTTTTTTTTAGGAACTTCTACATAGAAAACAAGGTTAATCAAGGTTAATCAGTTTAGTAGTTAAATAGGGAACTATGTTTTGCAAAGTTTTGATTCAGGTTCCTCGTTCCACCCAGCAACTGAGTTAAGGAAAACTTCTTAGAGTAAAGAAAAGATAGCCACCTAAAATTTGAAAAACACCTTTTTTCCTGTCATTTCACATATTTAATATGTGTACATATACTTACCTGTATGTATTGGCTTAGACTGCAATAAATGTATGCATGTATGTATGGGCACATCCATATATATATGTACATAGATAACTTGCATAGTAGAATTTAGTTATTTCTTCTTAATGCATTTCATTTGCTTTCTTTGCAGAATTTGGAAACTGATTTAGCAGAGACAAGAGAACTAATAAAAAGTTGCACAGTATATGCAGTAACTTGTCATCTCAGGTAGATGTGAAACAGGAAGAATTTTTCCAAAAGGATTGTGATGTGGTCAGAGCTAAGTAAGTATTTCATAATAACTTTAAGTCTGAATCCTTCCAAAAAGACTGTTGTTCCAGTTAGGAAGCAGTGCATTGAAGATATTTTTGTGCAGCAGTGTGTTTTACCATTCTGTTCACAAGATGGAAGTCTCCCAGTTTATGTAGACTCTTCCTGATACATGTGTATATGTCTATCTTGTATATTTTACCTGTTTATTAGTAGTGACAGACTTAAAAATTATAGTTCTGTAATTTTCATTGTGTCAGAGAGCTACCAATCTCAACTGAAAGTAATAAAGTAACAAGAGGATTAGTAGCATGAACTAATGAGAGGCTAAACACCCTAAACTTGAAAAAGCTTTAAGGCTAAGTGTAACTTTAATTAGAGTCAAATCTGACAAGTCAGCAAAAGTCTACATAGACTTGTGCTAAAGTTTAGAGTGCAGTGATTTAAGCTTTATCTTAGGTCTCACACACTATTTCTTTACACTGAATCTGTAAAATTTGTGCTGCATTATTTTTATCTTGGAAAAGAACTAAAGGACAGAATGAATGATATGAATTGAAAAGACTACTGAATTCCACAGAATTAAGGCAATGTGAGAAGATAATTGGTAACTCTAAGTCAATTGTCAGGAAATTGTCTATGTTTTACTTCTTAATTTCAGAGGCATACACACTGTTTCATACCTGTATTAGATTAATAATATTCCCTTCAATATTCCTTTAAATGGTGGTTTTGCCTGAAGAGCTGCAGTTGGAAGTAGAAATCATTGGTATGGATACTCCTCTTTACTTTCTAAGCACAAATAAACTTTCTGGAGGGAGTCAATATATAAGTGTTTTTTCAAAAAAAACCCAAACTAACAGAAACCAAGAAATATGATTTTTGATGCATCTGAACTAAATTGTAATGTTGAAAGCTTGTCATGTTGAAATCTCTACAAGAAAGATGTTGTCTTCACAAGAAAAATAATTTTTGTGTTTAAAAGAATAACCAATTGGGTTTTAAAAAGTCAATAAACATACGTAAGCTTATTCAGAAATTGTGTTGAAAGAAGAAATGAATGGAATTGTGAAATTCAGCAATGGACTAATAGAATTGATCTCCTGAAATTATTCTCATAAAAATATATATGTGTGAGGACTGGGGACAGCAAAGAAGGCATTTTAGAGTCAGGTAATCAAGTTTGCAAAGTTACTGCTTGATGATTTCAGCTTCAGATATTGCAATCTGAGTTGGCCAAATCTTTGAATTTTGAATTTCTCAAAATGAATTCTTTGATATTCTTTGCACAACAACCTCTTAGAATTTGGCACAAACACTTCATTAAAATATAGAAGTAAAACAAAGACACTTTTGAACATAAGGTCTGAACATGAAGTAATAAAGAGATGTAGACAACACTTATTTTAAAATGAAGTCTTCTTCTATGTTTTTCCATATACCTAATCCTCTAAATTTATGGGAAACAGTTTGGTAAATCAATCATATGGGGGGGTTTTGTGTGCTCTAATGTTTTCCTTCCTAGATATTTAGTGGTATTGCAATAAGTAATAGTATTTTTGGGTATCACTAGAGTGTGAGTTATGTTTCACATGTCTGTATATATGTGTTTGATCATTAGTTGCCTTCCAATCTTTCTCAATGAACTTCAGCTACAAGTTTCTTGTTGACATTTCTGTTATGAAGAAAGAAGGCTTACGCTTATATTATGTAAAATTCACAGTTTCAATAGTTAGCAATACATACTACGAATTGCAAGTATTCTGTACTTTTATAGTATAGAATACTGTAATTTCTCCTTATCTTCTGAGATGTCAGTGTGCAGAAAAGATTACTTTTCTGTTATTTCTCAATTTAAAAAATGTGTCAAAATTATACAAGTCTTTGTAAAAAGAACACAACCTTATTTAAATTAATTACAACTCCCCAGTTAGAGGAAAAACTCTGAGGAGAAAATTAAGTCTTTCTATCTTATGACTGTGTTGACTTAATGATTAAAGCACTTAATTTTTCCCATTTATGGTAATTTTTTTAAAAAATCCATTTAAAATTTTGTCTTATGGAAGTATCACATTGAATGCTTGGTCGTCATTTGATGCTGGCAGAAAATTCTTGGACAAATTGTATGGAACATACTCCATCCTCCTTAGTATCTTCAGTTTCTCATCATCAATTTCAAACTTCAGAGCTGAAAAAGACAATCTGACTTGCAAATGCGTCTGTTCTCCCCAGTGCTCTGTCTCCCTGTTTGCTGCTTTTCTACTTTTCCCACCCTCTCGTTCTGTGAAAACAGAGCAGGAACACAACTGAAATTATTAGAAACAAGCTCTAGAATAAGAAAGAAAGAAAGGCAGCTGGCTCCCTTCATTTGGTGTCTTTCCTATACTGCATAGGCAGATTCAGAAAAATACACCTACTGCTGACACCTTGGTAATACTGTCCAAACTTTTTACCCTGTGTGCTAAATGCAGTTTTAGAAGGAAGTCTCCAAGGGAATATATACATATGGGCTAGTGCTGTGCTTCTTGTGCATTCACCACTTCCTGTGTTGTGCATACCTGTCAATTTGTTGGCAAGAGGTTTTTTTAGTTTAACAGTAGATGTGTCTGTAGACAGCAAGAGAATTGTTGTCTTCAGCAAATTAGCAGGGATCAAACTTTGAAGAAATACTCCAGTACAACTCTGATTCTACAGAATAACAAAGTGGTTTTGGAAATACTGCTATTTGTCAATAAAATCTGTTACATACTTTTGAGGTGTGGAAGATAAGTTTTCTAGGACCAGTGACCAAACAGTATTTACAGGATATATCCTGTATAGTGAATGTCTTCAAGAAGCCATTACCTTTCTTTTTTGGCTTAATTTTTGCAAAGCATTCTTCACCTTACTGGATTTAATTTCAAACTTCTGAATTACCCGTGAAATGCATTTTCTTGTTAAATTTTTGATGTTTTAATTTAGTACAGTTTTTCTGTATCTCTTTAGAGTCCATGGTAACCTTTCCTTTCCATATATAACCTTTCCCGTTATGTATTTTATATGTAACATTTTCATGTTGTCAAGCTTGGTGATTTTTGCTTTAAAATTATGCTAAACACCAGGGTCTAGAACTCTGTGGTCTGACACAGCTCTGGTGGAGCTCTGAACATCAAACTGTAGAGGTTTGATTGACTCACTGAAGTTTGAGCCCTGCTGTCACAAGTATCCAGGAAATATGAAGCTGCTAATATAGTAAAATCTATTCTAAACTGAATTTGAATTAATTGCCCCAGTATTTTTAGTGGAAATGTGGGTCATGACTTCATTCCTTTGATTTGTATCTAGTCCAAATCTATCCCTGATGATTTTCCAACTATTTTGTTCTGTAATAATGTTTCTAATTTTACTCCCCCACCATGTGTGCCCCCATCCTGCTCACCACCCCTTCCAATACAGACACTGTTAACTTGTGTCCTGTAAATTATGAGGCAGTCAGATTTTTACTCAGGTCTTGTTTTGCTGCTCTTCTATTTTTAGATTTTTCAGGTTATTCTTTGCTCTTTGCTGCAAACCATTTTGTAGTATTTATGCCATTTCCATGAGAAGACATAATTTATAGGACCTGTCACTGTGCTGTATTTTTTAACTACAGGTAATGGGATCTAGAGATTTCTTGAATTACCCTAACTGATCTTGTATTCCCCTTGGTAACTGGGACAGCTGAGATGATCAAAGTCCCAGTATATTCACCAGAATTGTGGTGGTGAAACAAAGCTATGAATATCACCTGAAGAGGTATGTATGTTTTTAATTCTGTTTGTAGCACAGCACATTCCATAGCTTGTGGAATGACAATAGCTATTAATTTCATTTATATCTCTGGGAAGCCACAGGTTACTCTAAAACCCTTAATCAGGGCCTATAAGGCCCCTAGTTTCTGCAAGGATAAAAAGGTTTTATTTAATCTTATGTTTTAAGGGTAGAAGGAAGTGTCTGTGAGCATCAGAGTTGTATTTTCTCTAAGCAATGGTAGTGACTTAAATATTGTTACTGACCAGATAAGGTGTCAAATGTTTGAGTCTGGCTACTGTCTTTTTTGTAGCATCATGTAGCATCATGTAGCATCAACTTGAAAGAAAAGTCTACTAAAGTTACTGTGCCAACAGTCTTACTTCAGGGATTGAAATAATTTAGTAATGCTCTTCTATTTTGAAGTGAGAAAGACCAGATTTTTTTTCATAGCACACCCTTTCTTGTTCCTTGAAGAGTGCAGGTCACTTTCTGTAAATTTCATTTCCCACTATATTAATCTTAAGATACGAGATTAGAGACAGAGAGGTGTTTTATTTTATTTCTCAGTACTACCTGCTGACTTTGCTCTTAAAAAAGTGAAAAGCTCTCAGTGTATCATAGTGTGTTAGTGTCGTGGTTTGACACAGAAAATGAATTTTTCTGGAAGGAAGAGGTCAATTTGTATATTGACCAATTGAAAGTGGACATGCCTCTGAGAGCACAGAGGGGTTAAAAGCAGAATTCCCAGGAGAACTCGCTCTCTTTGGTTCCAGTCAGCCGCAGTGCAGACCTTCCCCTGCCCGGTGACGAGCTGGGTGCGGGAGGGGAAAAGCCACGTGGCCTTCGGAGGTAGGCCCAAGGGTGGAGGG